TAACAGGAAGATTATTCCCATACTGATTAAATTATTCTAATGATACTATCACTACACAAATTATGCAATGTCTATTACTTAATCCTATAAAATCTTATTAATGCCATCTGATAGGAGCAAGAATGATAGGATTGCTTGTAATGGTCTTCCACAAACAAAATTTCAGTGGTGCTTTTAATGCATTGCATTTGTGCTCTGGTACAAAGGCCAGGCAAAGGGGTTCACGACTGATCTGAAAAACTGCATTGCATGAAGTTTTCGGCTAAAAGCATTGGAAGAGTTATTTTGGTCCCTGATCTGCAAAATTTGCAGATAGCTTTTCTAATGATTTATAACTGCTGTAAAGGGGAAAAGGAGTGAATCTTTTCTTAGTTGTCTTGCCATGATGTTTTAGTGCGTTTCGGTACATGAAAAGATCAGCAGTTTTTAGACAAACTACAAGGCAGCAAGTTAATATACCTCACTAAAACTGGACGTTTATAAAGATCGCTGTTTCTATTCCCTTGAAAAACTTATTAGAATGTATTTTGCTACTGACTCTAAAGCTATTCTTTTGTTTTCAAGTTGAGTTTTAATTTGACCTTTTTCTTGTTACAGGTTTCCTAGTCTTCATTAACTTGTACTGCATAAAATACGGGGCATTAGCTCTGCAGGAAATATTTGACAGCATACAGCCAAAGTTAGTATGATTTTTTTTTTTTTTAATTTAAGACTGCTGTGTCATTTTCATCTTTTAAAGTACTTGTTGTCTCCTTTAGCTAAAATGGCAAACTGCATTTGTCACTAATTTGACTAGCCAAACGTTTCTTCTAATGTGGTTGATATATTTGTTTTTCTGATTTGCTGCCCACAGTTCCTTTTTGATAGTTCAAGATACTGATCTCCTAAGCAGACCATAAAAAGGAAAGAGTGACATTTCTTTCTCACTTTGTGGAAAACTTGTATGCTTAAATTTCTACCAGGCATCTACTGCAACAGGGCAGCATTATAACAAATTATCCGGTTTTCTCTTTTTCCTAGTGCCTCATATTGTTTCTGGTTTTCTTTGGTCACTGTGAGGCTGATAAAGCTTTCTGATACTTTTTCTTTTAATGTCATAATAGGATGTTTGGAATGGTTTTGGAGAAAATAATAATTCCTGAAATCCAGAAAGTGTCTGGACAAGTTGAAAAGAAAATCTGTGCTGTTGGCATTACAAAAATATTAACAGAATGTCCTCCTATGATGGACACTGAGTACACCAAGCTGTGGTATGTAGAACACTTCTTCAAGTTCTGTTAGCGAGGCTATTTGACTTATTGAAAATGTGATCTATCATCAAACTACATTCTTCAGATAAACTCCATTGTGATTTCTTCAGGCCTGCTGTTGTTGTGAAGCTGAATTTCAGGCTTTTCATACTACCTTCTTTTCTCAACAAATAAAACTATTTTCAAAGCAGATGCCAGAACTGGTTTGAGATTTTTGTGATGGAGGTAGCACTGACTGCGCTAGCGAGGACTGTGTTTAAGAAAATATACAACTTTCTTTTAGCTTGTATTCTTTCTGAAAACCTAGGCCTGGTTTTGTCTTTTAACTGTTCTACTCATCAGGAGACCTGAGCATAGATACTTAAAACCTGACAGAGAGGCAGTAAGATCTTAGCTTGACAGTAGAATTTTGGGGAGAGCTATCTGGGCAGATTGTAAGCAGCAGTCTAGGATGTCAGGGAGCCTGAATTTAATGACAATAACTGGATCCCTGAACTAGAACTTTTTTTTAATGTACTTAGGGAAAAGGTGTAATCTGGAAAAGAATTGCTTTTCTTAGGTACGTTTCATGAGAATTTGACCTGATAAAAAAACAGATAGATTCTTCATGCTTTTAATATGACCACCATACAGACACACAATTCTTCAAATCCAGCTTAGATTGGGCACTTGCAATTTCAGTAGCAAGTACCAGCAAGGGCTAAATTGTGAAGTGTTCTGAGTAATTTGAACATTCCTGTAAAATACACCCTGTCCTAACATATTTTAAGCAATGCAATTTTATCCTCCCCTCTTCACATATAGGACTCCTTTGCTGCAGGCCCTCATTGGCCTCTTTGAATTGCCTGAGGATGACACTATCCCTGATGAAGAACACTTCATTGACATAGAAGATACTCCAGGATATCAGACTGCATTTTCTCAGCTGGCCTTTGCTGGAAAAAAAGAACACGATCCTGTAGGTCAAATGGTGAACAATCCTAGAATCCATCTGGCACAGTCTCTTCACAAACTGTCTACAGCATGCCCAGGCAGGGTAGGTGGCTTTTATACATGGCATGCTATCACTACATTCTACAGAGAAGAAATGCTTCTTTGATAATGGGTCTCTTTTGCTAATGTTTGATAATTGGCAAAATGAAGTATTTCATAACCAGAATGCTAGATATTGCTGTCTTTTTTTTTTTAATTCGTTAATGGAATATAGCTTTTGTAAGGTTTTTTTTTTTTCCGCTAGTAACCTTAGAAAGGCTGTATTTTCACCTTACTTAATTTAACAATAAGGTAAAATATGCCATTTCTTAAATGAAAATTTATCCACTTAGAAGTATATAACTAATGCTTGTCTCCAGTTGTTTGTACTCGGGGAATTCCACGCAAGTCATGTTAAATTTCAACAAGTTAGGTTTACAGTTAACTATTTTAACCCATAGTGTCTTTGTTTTGTTCAAGATTTTGGTAAGTAAAGGTTGCCTGAGAGATCTGATGTTTGCTGCATTCAAATATTTGCTTTAATAACCAAAGGTTTCGTCTACTGTTCTTTTATATTTGATTCAGGTAAGTGGTATGTAAAGCTCTCAACATCAGGAATTGTAATTCCAGCAACTGCTTTCACAATGAAAAACTGCTGCTCTCAGGATGTTGTTTGACTTCGTACCATATGTTGACACAGTGATTAACAGGATATAGTGGTAGTTTAACGTATACACACATTGACACTTCTGCTCTATCATATGTTTTAAGGTTCCATCAATGCTGAGTACTAGTCTGAATGCAGAAGCGTTGCAGTATCTCCAAGGATACCTCCAAGCTGCAAGTGTGACACTGCTCTGAATTGCATATATTCCACAAGCAAGATCAAAAGCTGTTGTTATACAGAAGGTTGACACTGACTTTTTTTTATAGCAGAGCTCAGACAAAATGAAAAATGCTACTTGAAAATGTATTGCTGAATCCATCTTGTAAAAGATAATGTGGCTTTAAGCAGAAACCGAAAGAATTTGGTGGTTTGTGTACTCATAGATAAAAGGTGGCTAACTTCCATTCCCAGTTTAATTTCAAAGGGAATAGTCATAGCGGTTTGTTATGGGATTTATTTGAAATCTACATCTGCAGTGTTTGGATAACATTTTGAAATGTATGGAGAGCACTGGCTGTAGAAACTCACTTCGGTCACTAAAATTCCTTTTCATTTCGATGTTGTCCTTTGTATTTCTTTTGTCTTTCCTTAAACTTTATCTAAATTGTGAATAAATAAGAAGTACTTGTTTAAAATGCCTGTCGCTGTGCACTTACTGTTTTAGAAGAATGTAGTTGGTTTAAAAAAGATAATGTTTTGAACTTAGGATAGCATATAAAATAGTGGGACTGTGAGGATTTTTCTTTATCTTAAGGAGTGGTTCAAATACATTGTAGGATCATACGGAGCAAATCTAAAACTTTGGAAGAAAATCCAAAGCTATTATCACACGATATTCATCAACAGGAGCACCCCTTCTCTCTGAACAAGACATGTCAGTATAGCGCAGTAAAAGCGTGTAATACACCCTCTTAGAGCGGGTATCAGTCTCCAAGTGGATTTTCAGTGATGTATTAAAACTGAAGCAGTGATCTTAGAGTTAACTCTATCTCAGACATTCTGCCTGTCTCCTCATAAATATACTGATTAGGTTTGGTAGCCTTGAATTCCAAGTGCATCAGTTTATCTTGTAGTTATGGCTATTTAAGTGACTAGTTAAATGCCTGAGCCTTACTGTGTTCTCAGATGGCTCGGGCACCAAACTACTAGACCATAGGCTTTTAGAGCACTGGTACTGCAGGGATATAAATAAATGTAATTATAGAGACTGAAAAACTCCTGAATAAGAGTGAAGTCTCAGACTTATGTGATATTAAGTAATGTCATACGTGACAGATTTTTTTTTTTTAGTTGTTCACAGAAATTCCGCAGATGACTTGAATTAGGACTGTTTTTTTGTAGTTAGAATGCCTATTGAAGTTGGGCCTTGTATTGAGAAAGTTACTGAATTTACTGAGGGTGACTCGTAGGGCAGAATCAGCTGTCTGTCAGCTCTTCTTTAGTATCTGTGGCTGCCATGTGAGAGTGCATGCTGGCCATACCTCTTTCTATATAAAGAAATCAGTTGCTTGTTAGACAATGGATTTAAAGTACTAAGTGCCTAAAAATGTATTAACTGTCAGCATCAACAGGTTTTCTTGAGCCTGGTCTGTAATGCAGTGTCAGACCCTCTTGAAGTGAAAAGGTATGAAGTGAAAGCAGTTCTCCAGAGTGAAAGAACACAGTTGTGATAATGAAAAGCATCTGCCTTAATGCTGATGAGAGAGACTGTGATGTGTGGTGTAAGTTTGCCGAAGCGCCTTCCAGAATGAATTTCAATAGACAGGCTGAAACCACATGGGAGATGTGTGACATTTGCAAGGAACTGAACGCCTACCTCGAATGTCAATGTTAATTGAGCTGTAGTCATTCAAAACCTGCAAGCCAAAAGGATACTCTGAACTCTGTCTGCTCTGCAGCTTTTTCTTTCTCCTTGGATAATAGGCAGAACAATTCTACAGAGAACTTGTAGACCTTTTTTTCCTGTCAACCTCAAAGAACCAAAATTAAATTGGTACTGGTGGTCATGTAACAGTAATTTGACATGCTACCTTTGCATCTATTCAAGTAGACAGCCTATGCATGTGTGCTGGAGAACCTTGTGCTGAATTGCGGTTCTTCAGCACGATGGAATATTAAGGGGCTCGTATTAGATCATCTTAGTTCTACAGTTCTAAGCAAAGCAAGATTTCTTCAGGGGACAGGTTGCTGTATGCAATATGTAACTAAGTGCACAGCTGTTTCTTATCTTACAAGTACCAACCATAGATGGAACTGGATGGAATTTATAACAGCAAGCCAGAACCTTTTGGAGAGGCAGCCAAAGAAAAATTGGCTCTTGTGAATGCAAAGTTATCAGTGAATCTTGATGTTCACTACCTTGCGCTTCCTCCAATGTGTGACATTTTGTTGTTGGACAGACATTCCGTGTGAATAAGTGCCTAAGTGACTTCAACAAATACTAGTGGCATACTTGTCCTTTACTTCACTCAGAGTTGAATAACTTGGACTTTGTAGACATGGCTGTGGCACTGTTAGTGACATGTTATTTAGTCCTGATATATTCTGCAGATTACATAAGGCATGCAAGTGTTTATATAGAGCACTTACCCTTTCAGGCAAATGAACTTTTCAAGTGTAGCACAGGCAAGCAGATGCATCTCTGCTTTGGATTACAGGCAAATGTTACTAGCAGTGCCCTCACCTTCATTTAGTTGGAGACCTTATTGCTACTTCTGACACTTCCCATTCTCAAGACTCGGGAGGCAACACAATGTTCCAACTATATTTATCTGTTAAGTTTAGCGGAAACTGATGCAAGCAATGTTGTAACAGTTTTGTCACCTTTGCTGAACTTTCTAGGCCACCCTTCGGTGTATTCCAAGTAAACAGGCAAATACCAGCTTCTTGAGAAAGCTCAGTCTGGAAACACCTGGTATTAATGGATCTTTTGAGGACTTGGGAACATCTAATTCAGTGTTAGACAATTAACTCCTGCCCATCACCTGAGATAATAAGTAGCCAATTCTCCTTTGCAATTGATAATGGTAGAAGACTATTCAAATCCAATAGGAAAAAGACAACTTGCTCCTTTTTGAGTATGAAATGGGTAAAGGGACACGTGTGTTAGGATCTTTTGACACCACAGAATGCTAATCTACTGTCCTCCTTTGGTGCCTACTGACTGACTTGTGGTTGTCAGCTTCTAAATAATGTTCTGAGGCTTTTGTAGCAGAAGAAATACCTTATTGTTGGTTTAAGGGAAAAAAAAAAAAAAAAAGGAAAAAAAGACAACCCCACTCTCAAGACCAATACATGTTCTTGTTTTCTTGGGTTGTGAATGGGCTGCAATACTACCAGCATTCCGGCAATGTTGGCAGCACATACTAAAGCGAAGTTCTGTTTCTTCATTTCAGTATGTGCTAAGATAAGAGTTGTCCTCTCTGAGCCAGACGTTTCCTTCTAAAATTCTCTGATGAGGTCAGAGCATATTCTTTCTCTGCTGACTACTTCTTTCATAAAACTTGATTTTCTTTAGGCTCTCAGTAGCTTGCCTGAATGTGCCTTCTGTCCAGCTGGTCACAGCAATCTGTTGGTCTGGTCACAGCAATCTATTTGTTCACAGTTCTTCACCCTTCCCTGAAGTTCACTCATTCTTGTACAGAAAAGGTTTATCATTCAGTGAGCTTCCCTTTATCAGTTCCAAGACTGCATGCTACAAACTGTCAAAAATGCTGCTGAAGTGCTGGTGAATCACTGCGAAAACATTTTGACAAAACTGGAAGATATTTGCAGCGCAGCATCTATAAACCTGCACTAGGTTTATAATAGATTAACTAGATAATAAAAACAGCTTGGCTGTAGCAGTATGGAGATCTAGGCATACAGCTGTATTTGGTGGAATAAATTGTCTCACCTGATAAAGAGAGCTGTCTCTGCCCGACTGTGCACGGTCGCTCGCGGAAAGCTAGTTTGGATACAGCTATACCCAGAACGGCTTGGAAGTTTCCTTGTCCTGAAGCTGCCCAATGTCAAACCTTGATTTTTGTCTTAAAATAGCTTAATCCTTTCTTCATAGAAAAACAGTATTTCTTAATACCTGTTACCTGTTTTGTGGAGTCCTATCAACAAAAAAAGCTGAGAAGAGTCGTGCATGTTCTTTTAGCCCTTAGCAGAAGTATTACAAAGACACTGTCTCCTGTTTCAGGCATTCGCTTTTAAAATTCTGCAGTTGTTAACTGACAGGCATGACTTCTCTGTGAAAATGTGAATCTATTTATAAATCTACCTAGCTATCAAAGTGGAATAAATGCTTTATTTTCCCTTAGCTTGCTACCTTTACGTTTTTAAATGACATCATTATTGCCTTCAGTATAACTTAGAGGGAATTTGAGGTGTTGCTGGGGAATATGGGCTATAATAGTAGGTACCAGCTAGTACATGAAAAGCTCAGTGACTTTTGTTGACAGCTAGTTGCAAAATGACTATAGGCTTTAAAGTTTTCTCTCAAAATAATAATCTAATTCATGTGAGGTCAAAGCTTATGCTGGACATACTGTATTGTATTCAAGATAAGAATAGAAGAGAATACCTTAATAATAAAGTACTAAATATTAATAGAAAGTAAAAGATATTTTGTTATAAACGAGTAACTTGTCAAAAAAGCAGAATAAAGGGGTTTTAGCACAGCTAGTTCATATATTTAGCTTCCTAGTAAAAAGTTTTCATTTGCAAAAGGTGTGAAGAGAAATCCACAGTTTTTGTGGCTGATATAAGGGGTATTTTGAAGTATTTAACAAAGAAAATATATTAATAACAAATACCAGATTTCTATATGAACATCTGAAAATACTGTAATTACAGTACTGCTTCCTTCATAGAAGAAAATGAAAGTTTCAAATATTTTACAGATTGTTAGCTAGAAATAGGTCTCTGTCCTTGTTCAAGCTGTTGGATGAAGAAGAGTAGAAAAGTCTTTTGTCACATTTTTGAGTAATTAATAATCATACACGTATTAGAGGAGGAAATACCCTTCAAATGAAAGGATGAACATGTTGGATATTTGAGGTGGTGTGCCAAGTGTTCCACAGATTTTTGAATTACGTATGTATTTGCTTAAATTATGTTCAACTTTGTAATCTGGCTGCAGATACTTTTTGCCCCAGTCATGCAGATTTTACACTTATCCAGCCATTCACAATTTTCTGGAAAAAAGAGAACATAAAACTGAATTTTTAATGTAACTCAATCTGGAAAAAAACCCGATAGCTTTGTAATTTCCTGTCTCCATCTAACTTTCTACAAAAAAACTGCACAAATGTTGTTTCTGTTATAGACAACATTAAGCTGTGCAGTAATGATTATGCAACAGTTGAAATTTCATTTCCTTCTGAAATATAACTGTTGCTGGCTTGGAATAATTAAAGCATCTAACAGCACATATTATTATGCAACAGACCACAAGAAGGTACAAATAGGTGTTTAAATGTGATATGGGATATACATCTATATACTTATATACTAGCGAATGTCTTTTAAATGCTATATTGTCAATTGATTTTAAGTGTATGATGTATTTTCTTTATGGTATCTTTGGAATCCATATCAATATTAAATATAGAAATGGATATGGAGCTTTAGCTATTTTGTTTTTTAT